GGATGAGTGCCTTTTTGAAGAACCCGACATGGATGCGGCAACTGTTTTAGAGATTCCGCACAACATAAGTTATATATATATATATATAATAAACTTACCATGGATGCTTAGCAGTCAATTCTCTGAGCTCTTTCATGGGTTCTGGCTCTCTTGGGTATACGCTGGTCTCAAGTATGTACTGTAACACGTAGCAACCAATGATCATCAGCCACGAAAAACAGTTACTTTGTCATAGCCAGATTCAAAATATATATTCAAATTTAATGGATCCAATTTTTTATATCCTTACGAGTAAACTCTTTTTATTTTTATAATTACGGGTTCAAAATTAGAATTTTTTGGAATATATATTTTTTGTCAAAAATACTAGTTCAGTTGAAATCATTATTTAAAAGTTCATCCTCATTCGGATTATACAGTGACTATGAAATATCATCTACGTATTATAAATTATTTAAAATTCTGAATCTATCTCTGCATGTACTTAAGAAAATTTTAAAGAAATTGTTATACCTGGTAAAGAGCATCACTTTGTAAAAGGCTCTTGTGGCCAACCTCTTGGTGTTTGGCGACCTGATTTTCCTGTGCTGCACCGTTTTCAGCCATGTTAATTTCTTGAGTTTTTAACTCTTGCAAATTCTGCTCGCTTTTCCTTTAGCTTTTCTCGTTTGTTTTATTTGCTTTCTCTTAATTTCCTTTCCTTTGGTTTCAGATTTTTGAAGGAAGGGAATGGAAATATATATACTATACTCTATAAGGATAATGGATGCTAGGTGTCTGAATTAGACGGGTTGAATTTATTGACTGAACCAAGTAAGGCTTGCATGAACAGAGGCAACCCACCAACTAGACACAAAGTTGGTGAGATTCCTCCGTGGTGTGATTCTAATATAAAATGGACCCCACATGCGGGACCAATGGAAGTTGTTGCAATGGAATCTCAACCACTAATTCCTATAACGGAAAATTTTATTTTGTGTCTCATACAACTGACATTAGTTGTATGAGGTATCTTTTTTGTCTCACAGTTTTTTGAACCCAAATTTATGTGGATCTAGAAGGGTAAGATTGGAGTCCACAAATTTATGAGACAAAAAGGAGTCTCACGTAACTAAAATTTCTCCCCTATCATGTATGATGACGTCATGGAAACGTCATATATCTTAATTTAAAGGGTTGGATTGGTAAATTTTGACGCATGATTGTTTTAGTTATTTTCACGTTACACATAAAATACAGAAGAAAAAAAGGAGAAGATCGGCTAGGAGTGGGACGTGAAATAGGTAGACAAAATACAAAAGAAAAGGTAAAGGTAGCTGCTGGTTGGTAAAGATAGCTGTAATACACTTTTCATAGTTTTTTTGGTAAATAAGTTTTGAGAATATATTTGGATTTCTTAAAAGCAACTATCTAAATGATTAATTTTTTTCAAAATACGTTTGCAAATACCACCCAAAATTCTCATAACATCAACCGAAAACCAAATAAAAATATTACTAAATAAGTGGATAATTTAAATGAAGAAGAAAAAAAGGGGACAAATATAGGTTAGTTCAAAGTAGGCGAAAGAGAAATTTGCTTGTGAAGATTTGGTCAGTGGTTGGTGGAAAAAAAACTTTTATTTTCAATAAAATTTTGATAGAATAACAAACAATTATGCTAAAAGTTGGTAAAATGGTGACCCCATTGACCACCGTCCTCTTCGACTTTTCCATTCTCTCTTCTTTCTTTTAGTTCTTTCTTTTTCCCTCTATATGGTGAAGCCAACTTTGACTTTCTTTTTGTGTACCCTTTAACCGTTATTTTCTTCAGAATAGTTTCAGTGAGTAGGAATTTAAAGCAATCCCTCTGTTCATATACTTTGTTCCAGGAATCCCTCTGTTCATATATTTAAATTTTGAAATTACATTAAATATTCCAAAGATATTACACTCTATACCTCCAGATTTTCTCATATATTCTGAAACATATCAGAATATTCTAATTTGGAATGCAATCCAAATCGAAATATACCACAATATTTAAACTAGAAATAACACAATATTTTAATCTGGAGTATAGTATCCAAACCAAATATTTCATATTATTTTAATAAAAAATATAATATTTAAACTAAACATATTGTAATATTCTAATTTGGAATATAGTATTCAAACCAAATATATTATAATATTCTAATTTGGAATATAATATTCAAACTAAATATACTATGGTATTTCAAATTGGAATATAGTATCCAAACCAAGTATACCGTAATTTTTTAATTTGAAATAAAATATTCAAACAAAATATTCCACCATTTTCTAATTTGAGATACAATATTAAACCAAACATACGACAATATTGTAATTTGCAATACAATATTCAAACCAAATATAATACACTATTCTAATTTTGAATAAAAATATCTAAATGAAACATACTATAATTTCCTAATTTAGAATACACTTTCTTTATTTTGAAATATAGTAGGTATACAAGGTAAAATAAATTTATAAAGTAGGTATACAAGATAAATAAATATTATAAGTGTATATGGTGTTAACTGGTGTCTCCGGTGGACATACTTCATAAATTTTCCTTTCGTAATTGGCTGTAAGTTATACATCCTTGTATACGGTTAAAATCGAGCATATATGATTTTATTTGCTCGAGGGTCTGCCTCGAGGTTAAGTTCATATTGAAGCGAGCTCGAAGACACGAAGACCGAAGGATCGATATCGGGCAAGACCAACATCGAACAACAGAATAGCGAGATATCAGTGATCGACCATAAATCTCGGCGGGAATCTCGGAACCGACAGAACCGCTAACGGTTATTGATATCAATCATGGATTTTACCTCCGAGATTAAAGTTATACTTTATTTGGGATTCCTCTACTCTATAAAGAGGAATCATGTTCATTTGTACATAGACTTACTGAGAAATAATAATACGCTGCTCTTTTACTTGCTTATAACTTACTATTATTCTTATTGTTCTTAACGCTTGATCTCGAGCATGTTCCAATTGAGGTCGCTAACTTGCAATGATACTGGTTTGGTTATCTTAATCATTTAATTCATTTATTTATCTAGTCATTTATCAATTGGGGTTGAATCAGATCACGTATCTTTATAACCACATTACAAGTTTAATTGTTACTCGTAATTCGAGGTAAACAGTTTGGCGTCCACCGTGGGGCTAAGAATAATAGTGATTGTTCAGTGCTAATTTGGTATAACACACTAGTTTACACTTGTTTCTTGTTAAGAATTTTGTTTTCAGGTTAATCATGTCAAACTCACAAAATGTATCTACACACGGCGACAACGGCCTCGGACTCCATAGAGAAAATGAGAATGTTATCGCCCCAGGAATCGAGGTTTTCTCATATTTTGAAACATATCAGAATCCCTCTGTTCATATACTTTCCCTCTGTCGAGGTACACAGGGCAGAGGAAACGAAGGAGTCAGTCTCCAAGTAATATTTGAAATGTTGCAAGCCCAAAAAAACGCCATTGACCAGTTGCAAAATCAACACGGGGTACCAAATAAGGTCGAACAAGAGGTTACTCATCGTACTGAGCTAGTGCCTGAATGATCGGGTGATAATACTTCGACAACCGATCCTGCTATAATGAGGATGCTCGAGGAGCTTACTAAGAGGATAGAATTGGAAGAAAAGAAAATCGAGGCCAACAACAAGAAAGTGAAAACTTACAACTCTCGAGTCGATCAAATACTGGGGGCACCACCAATCTTAAAAGGATGGATTCCAAAAGGTTCATACAAAAATCATTCTCTCTGAGTCGTATGCCCGATATACCTAAATACAATGGGATCTCTGACCCAAATAAGCACGTTACTTCTTACACATGCTCCATAAAGGGAAACGACTTGGAAGATGATGAAATTAAGTTTGTAATGCTGAAAAAGTTCGGGAAGACCCTGTCGAAGGGAGCTATGATTTAGTATCACAACTTGCCACCGAATTCTATCGATTCATTCATCATGTTAGAGGATTCATTCTTAAAAGCACAGGCTGGGTCCATAAAGGTTGCAACGAGAAAATCAGACCTCTTCAAAGTGAAGTTGAGGGATAACGAGATTCTAAGGGAATTCGTGTCTCGATTCCAAATGGAACGCATGGAATTACCACCAGTTATTGATGATTGGGCTGTTCAAGTTTTCACCCAGGGATTAAATAAGCGGAGTTCGATCGCATCACGTCAGTTGACATATAATTTAATCGAGTACCCAACTGTGACTTGGGCAGATGTCCACAACCGATACTAATCAAAGATTAGGGTCGAGGATGACCAATTGGGAGCCCCCTCAGGTTTAGTACAACCAAACCGATCGACAGGTAAAAATCAGAGAGATGGTGATAGAGAATCAAGGTCGAATAAAGATCAGTACTAGCCATATGCTGCAAATCGGAGGAACAATGGTCCGGGACGCAACTCTGCCCGGAACGATCGAAGGAGTGACCAAGGGCAAATTTCTTGGGGACTTATGAGTAAAATCGATTTCGACAAATATGCATATCCCACAGAAGCGCCTCGGATATCGGAGTATAATTTCAGTGTCGATGTATTGGGGATTGTATCGGCTATCGGAAGGATTAAAGACGCCAGGTGGCCCAGACCGATCCTTCTCAAAGGAACCTAAACTTTATGTGTAAATATCATGGCACATATGGCCATATGACCGAAGACTGCAGACAGCTAAGGGAAGAGGTAGCTCGATTGTTCAACGAGGGCCACCTTCGAGATTTCCTTAGTGATCGAGCTAAGAATCACTTCAGAGAAAGAGAAACCAACAGAAAGAACAAGTAGGAAGAGCCTCAGCATGTTATTCATATGATCTTCGGTGAGGTCAACATCCCGTAAAGGCCTATATTCAAATGTACCAAGGTGTCGATACACCAGAGAAAAGCGAACTCGGGATTATGTGCCCAAAGGCATCTTATCGTTCAATGACGAGGAAGCGGAAGGCATTTCTCAGCCGCACAATGACGCCTTGGTAATTTCTATTTTGTTAAATAAAATTCAAATTAAACGTGTTCTAGTGGATCTAGGTAGATCAGCAAACATATTCAGATCGAGGGTCGTAGAGCAGCTCGGCCTGCGAGACCAAATTGTGCCTGCAGCTCGAGTTTTAAACGGCTTCAACATGGCAAGTAAAACAACGAAGGGGGAGATAATCCTACTAGTAAACGTGGTCAGGACCATCCAAGATACAAAATTCCATGTCATCGAAGGCGACATGAGATATAATGCACTACTCGGAAGGCCCTGGATCCAAACATGAGGGCAGTACCGTCGACCCTTCATCAAATGATAAAATTCCTCACAATAGATGGTGTGAAAATAGTTTACGGGGAACAACATGCTACAAAGAAAATGTTTGCAGTCGACGAGGTGACGCCGATATCAACACCTTTGGCCTTAGAAAAATTGAGCACCAAAGATAAGCAGACGGCAAAATAGCAATAACCGTCCCCAGCCTCGACCGAATCGGAGAAACAAGTAATCGAAGAAGAAGAAAAGGATTTCCTTACTCCTCGAACTTTCGTTGTTCCCCAAGAATCAGATGCAACCAAGTTAATGGCCAAGGAGTTGGAACAGGTGATACTAATCGAGTATCTACCCGAACGAAAGGTATACCTAGGAACGGGGTTGACCGCCGAACTTAGGAAAAAATTTATTCAATTTCTTATTGATAACATAGATTGCTTTGTATGGTCCCGTTAGACATGACAGGGATCCC